AGACTAAAATCTTCTCTGACCCAGACATTGAAAGGTTTGCCCTAAGAACTACAGAATCATGAACTTTGTACCTATTATGTTGTCTGCTAACAATATCAGACCTACAAGAGGAAAGCCTTCTCTATAACAGGCCTTTCTAACATCCTAATAAAATATTACTTAAAGAACAAATCTATAAAAACCAGAGAAATATGAATATGAACAATCAAGAAGAAAAAACCTATATATGAAAATCTTTCTATTCCCATTCATACTACACTACAGATAGACTCCCATGTAATGAAATCAGCAGAACCGGGTTTCGCTGTGATTTAAACCGCAAAAGAACGAACTCACCGCGATGAGTAAATCCTTAATGTATTCTGCCAAAAGTTGTACATATATTCAATACACACATTACATTAACAAATCTAATTTCCCAGATTTTCACCATATATTTGAGGATTTTGAGACTGTATAACCTGTTTTCTAACTTAAATCGTCAACAGTAATAAATTGAATGCCATTTATATGGAATATCTTTACAATCCAGTATTCTAATACGCTGTGGTTACTCTCTATTAAATTGTACACAGTCTTCTTGCTAATGAATTCTCACTAACAAATTCTGAGAATTAATACACCAACATGCCTCAGAGGTCTATGAATAGATTTTGATTCCTATACAGCTGAGGCACGCTGATGTATTAGAACAGGGGTGTCAAACATGCGGCCCAGGAGCCAGATCAGGCCCCCGGAGGGCTTCTCCCAAGCCTGGCCGTCTTCTGCTTCTTCTTCCAGTTCTGCTGCTGCTGCGTCATCGGAGGCTTGCAGCTTACAGGCACACACCTGAACAGCATACTCAAGACTGCAACAGCACAGACATTCTGATGCAGTAACTCAGAGCAAGAGGTCTCAGTTAGCAGACACTCTTAAATAAACAAAATATTGCAAACCTGCTAATGTTTTAAGCATGTTTTTATTTTAAGTTAAAAAAAAAACACCTCTGTGTTTGTGTCCTTTATAAAGTTTATATCTCCGCTACCTGGCATTACATTTTATGACACACACGGCCCGGCCCAACAAGGTCTCATTTATGTTGGATCCGGCCAGGGGTCATTTTGTAGAAAAGAGGTGCAGGAGCTTATTAGCATAACTCATTAGCATAACTTATTTGCATATGCCACACCCCCTGACATCACCGGAAGTGTGTCAGAAGGCAACACCCACCGCTCAGGCTCCACTGGACTGTTTCAGATTGCTAGCTATTGGGGGGAGATCTGCCCTTGCAGATACCCCATGGCCCCCCCCCCAATCAAGCCCCTATCGCCGCCGCCGCCACCCCACAGGTGCTGGGAAAGGTGGGTGGCAGGGTTCTGG